TCATTAATTATTATTATTATTATTATTATTATTGCATCATGGAGTATTCGCGGCGGTAGAGAAATATAAATTTTAACGTCTTAGCGTTGTATAAAGATCCAGCACACAAGTAGATAAGAGAGAGGGTGTAGTGTTCATTAGAGACACTAGAGTTTTTACATGAAAACCCCTAAAAAGTGAAAAAAACTAAAGGTTTTATCCCAATTTAGATGAATCCACTACTATTTGCAGTCGATTACAAATGAGGCCCTTCGTAAGGAGAAGGCCATGGCTTGATGTCACAAATGTACATCATATAAAGCGCATTACATGGTAGGAGTTATAATAATAAATATAGACATGTTTGTTTGGTAGGCAGGACCATAGTCAATAGGATAGAGGTCGAAATGATCATAGTAAGCAGGAGACTGAGGTTAGAAAGACCACTGTCTAGCGATGTAGGTCAAAAGGACCGTAGTAAGTAGGAGATCAAGGTCAGAAAGACCGTTGTCTGGCGATGTAGATCAGAAGGACCATAGTAGACGACAGAGGTCGAAAGGATCACAATTGATAGAAGACAGGGGGTCCAAAAGACCATAGTTGGTAGAAGATCGGGGTCAAAAAGATCGTTATAGTAGGGAGGTACTCTTGTAAAACTCTAGGCATCATGTGGTGGCCTGACAGAAGTCCGAACCTCAAATGGTGGTCCGGTAGAAGTCCGGGCCTTAGGTGTTGGTCCCGTAGAAGTCCAAGCTTCAGGTGGTGGTCCGGCTGAAGACCCTCAGATGGTGCTCCAGTAGAAGTCTGGGCCTCAAGTGGTGGTCGGCAGAAGTCTAGGCCTTGGGTGGTGGTCCGGTGGAGCTTTAGGCCTCATGTGGTGATCCGACGGAACTCACTATTATTTCCAGTGGTGGTCAGGCGGAACTCATGCGGTGGTCAAGAAAGAGCAAGGAGGCAAGAGCGATCTTCGATCTCTCTCTTGTTCTCTTGCTTGGAGCCCCCTTTTAAGAGGGAGAAAGAATCTATTTATAGATTTCCTAAAGTGACAAGATCCATAAATAAGAGGAGGATCAATGTTAAATGTAGAGTGGTTTGGATGGACGGCCGATGTTGAATCCCTTGATCGTGGACTGTTCGCTAGACATTTGAAGGTTAATGATGTCAAAATTATATGATCTTGAGCTCGTTTGATTTGTCTTGTCGATCCGCTCGATTTGACTATAAGCACGTTATGTTTGAAAACCGTTTGATAAACCAAATTGTGGTTCGAACCCTCCAACCGCGCTTCAGACCCATTTGGGCTCAGATTCAGTTGAATTTGGTGTCGTTGGGTTTGTATTTCGGGGACATTTATTCGACTATAAGTTTGCTGAAATCGGAGTTTGGATGGTCCCAATTTTAATTTCAGACGTTTCCAACTTGACTTTTCCTCAAGATTCGTGTCCGATCAAGATAATTTTTTGAGGATGTATCAATAATAATAATAATATAATTGATAATGATATATTATTATTATTATTATTACCATCACCATTATCAAAAACATCAAATAAAAATAATAATAATAAACGCTCGTCGAGCAACCAAATAAAAAAAAGGGAAATTTACATACATATCACTTTCTCTGACCCAGACAAACAAGAAAGCAAGAAGCGAAGAACATGGAAAAAGCAAAGCCCCTCGCCGTTCTCCTCCTCCTTGTTCCCTCTCTCATGCTGCTCTTCTCGTCATCGATGGAGATATCCGAGGAGGAGCTCGAAGACGCGATCTACTCTCTGCGATCGCGTGGCTATCGGCTCTTCGGCAACGCAATCACCTCCTCCGACGTCTGCTTCGACCTCCTCTTCTCCAACGCTTCATTCACCCTCTTCGCCCCCACCGACGCCTCCCTCTTCTCTATCGACATGGTCTTCTCAGCCTCCGCCTACTTTGATGTCCTCCGCCACCACGTCGCCCTCGGCCGTCATTCCCTTCCCGTCCTTCGCTCCCTAATTCCCGGCACCGCCATTTCCACCCTTCTACCCTCCGGCGAAATCGTCATCTCCCACCGCGACTCGCTTGACGTCATCACCATCGATGGCGTAGATGTTTCCCTCCCTGGTCTCTTCTACAGTCAAAACCTTGCAGTCCATGGTCTCGCCGGAACTCTATCCCAGCGAACGGCACATGAATCTGAAACCACCTCTCCGGTCTTGCGATCGCACGATTCGCGTCCTGGTTTTGCAAACTCTAAGAAAAGAAGCTCGGCGATGCATTTCGCTCTGATGGGGCGGCATTCTCCGGCTCCAAAACGAGCAGTTGAAACCAGGGGCATTTTCATTTCCCCTGTAATGCTTCCAATTGCAGACGAGATCTCAGATTCCCTTCAGACGGCAGCGCCGGCGGCGTTTTCTTGGGGCTACGGGACTTGCCGTGAATCCGAGGACTTGTGTTCGCCGTCAAAAGATACGACCGGCAATCAACGCTCTCACCTGCCGTTCGGCGAAGACGAGACCAATCTTTGATCGATTGTTCCGGGATTTGTTTTGGCCACTCTCCACACTCTGATTCAGATATTTTTGTACAATTTCACTATCAATAATCATCCTTTTGCGGTGTTTTGTGATAAAATCTGCTCTTTACCACATCATAGAGCCCCAATTCAAATGAAATAATGCGGATAATTGCGAAATTGATTGAGCCATAATCTTCTCGTGAAAGTATTTTGTTTTCCAATTATCAGGGTCTCTGAAATGTTTTTTTTTTTTTTGGACATTTAAATTAATTAAGATAAACTCACTATCAAGTAAATTATTTTGAATTTCAATGAATAATAGAGTTGAGCTCGAGCTTTCTGAGTTTGACCCTGCAACTTCTTTTAACGAGTCAAATTCGAGCTTAGTAAATGAGGTAGTCGTCTACACCCCTAGCACAAATACATGATAGAACCAAACAACAAAGAGCAAATACATCTTCATTTCTTAATGTTGGTAGAACTAATTAACCATAGTATTCTAACAATATTAGAAGATTTGAAGGATTGATCATTGTTTGAAGCTATGTATAACTTATAAAATATAAATATTCTTGCATAATATATATTGGACCGATCAAAATTTAAGAGGATGGTTGTTGACTGATGAGTTGGTGGGATTGAGCAGTGTTGCTCATAGATTGATGGATAGAATGTCTCCCCTGCTACTTGCGTGCGCTCGAATCTCATAACCAGTCAAAAAAAAAATGATGAGTTGTGAACGAAGTGAAGTTAAAAACGAGAAGGGAGGTTTTTTTATTGACATTTAGGCCAATTAAGCTAAGCTCACATGCACTTCACGTATGCAGGCTTCAAAATCAAGATCTCTTGGTTGATAATTAAAACTCCTAAAATACAAAACCTTCTGCATTTATATCCTCCACCGTGTGGTTATATTTCGACTACCAGAACTATAAATCAACAAATTAAGTAAACAAACCAAAGGAAATTATTTAAAAATTAACCGTAAGTAACATTAAATACTATTTGGAAAATAGAAAACTATGGAAGCCGATCCTTCAGCGTCTGAAGGAACTTGACTTCAGAGATATTTGCCATGCCTATGGAGTTCAGAAGTCTTCCAAACACTTTTGCGTGAGTTGGTGAAGTTCGAGTTTGCAAGCGTTTCGAAAGCTTATGCACTAAATAGTTTACGATTTTGACATTATAGCGGGGTGTCGACCTTACGAAAAACTATTATTGCGGTGTCTGGATACGTCTGGAGGTCAATCAGGACGCGTCATATCATCCAATGCACAGTGCATTGGATGATGTAGCACGTTCGGATTAGCCTCCGGACGCATTCGGACACCACAGCTTAACAACTTTAGCAGCCTATTCTATCGATGCTACATCGGGAATATGGTGATCTAAGAACAAAAGAGGGCTTTTTTCTCCATTGATCAATGGAGATTTGGAACAGTCTTCAGTCTCATTTAAAAAATACACCATCAATTTGAGATTCGGAAAGATTTAGACTTCTTTTGTGACAGTTTTCTTACTATTAAAAAAAAAAATTTCTCGTATAAAAATTTCTCCAAACTAATGTGAAAACAATGACGAAAAGCTATTCCAAACGAAACCTAGAAGTGTTCAAAATCCATTATAATCAACAAACATCAATAGTTTGAGGTATACTAATTTATGCGTTTAAGATTCAAGTTTCATTTGAGAAATCTTTTGGCCACTACTTTTTCGCTATTTTTAGGAAATTTTTTTGCTAGAAAATTTATGTAGAAAACAATAAGAAAAATGTCTCAAATGAAATCTCAATATTTCTTTTGGGTTTGATTTACGAAAAGATGTATAGAACCTAAAATCATTTTTTCATTTGATTCTAGAATTTACAATTATAACCAGAATTTTTAATTGATCTCAAGTAATTTCTAGATTTGATAGCCATATGATTGTGTGATTAAAATTGAAGACATGAATTATCATCTTTTATTTATAAGATATGACAGCACCAGTATGTGGTGGAGCTATAACTTACAGGTTGTTTCTATGGAAAAATTATTTTGGGTGGATTAGTCAGAATGTGCCACGTCACCTTTTACTCGTTACCGCGGCTCAACACTGTACAATATCGCGGCTCGATACCGCTGATATGGTGCATTCTGATTGGTCTTCAGACGACATTTTATGTCCGGTCTCTGCACAGAATAATTTCTCGTATCTATGAGATGTCACTCACAATTTCTTCAGGAATGTGCCACTTTGGAGAGGTAACGAGAACGACAGTAGTGAGAAACTCCCACAGTGACTGATAGTTTGATCGGCAAAGATGCTTGCTGTGAGCATCAAGCCTATGGGCTTATGGACGCACTTGACGGCATCTTAGAGGTCCCTACATGGACCGTTTATGTCTTCCAAGAGAGCACAAAGACATTCTGCTTAAACTGCGTTGGTATAATTCTTAATTGAGATCTTTCATTTAGATAAGGGTGCAATTCCATGGATGATCTTTTGACGCACATCCCACAGTAGTTGATGGATGGTTGTATGCAAGATTCCATAGGGGCAAATTTATAGATGATTAACTTTACTATTCTTACAAGATTTTTTTGTGCTGATCATGTGTAATACTCAATGCATCTTGCCTTGAGTTGATATAGTTGATCCCTACAAAAAAAAAAAAAAACATTAAACGAGGCGAAATAGACACACAATGTGTCACTTGACCCAACCTCTGATCATCAAACGAAATGCGTCGTTGGAATCAGAGCGTCGAATTCGCCTAAATGGGAACCCCTCGCGATCAAATCGGACAAAATCGATTAAAAGGGACGATTGACACCCAAAATTAACATGCGATGTTGCTCAAATGACGTTCGATTGTAATACGGACTTTCCTGTTGCGTTCAGAGCATCATCAATACCCAAAATTGACAATAAATTTGTTGCGTTCAAAGCATCATCAATACCATAAAATGACTATAAATTTGTTCAATTAAAGTCACGTGAGGAGGTCAGCATGAAGTCCGAGGCAAAGGCACGCAAATCAAGGAAATTGACACGCAACGTCTCCCAAATGGTGTCTGATCGTGGAACTGACTTCTCTATTGAGTTCAGAAAGCAAAAATACCCAATATCAACTATTATCTTGCCCAACAAAATTCATCCAAAGAAAACGGCGTGAATCCTAAGGCGACGACACGTAAATTGAGGCTAAAATGAGATTTTCTTTCACTTTCTATTAATTTAAAATAAGAATTAAGTGGGACTATAGTCGGGAGATTAAGGCCAAGGGTATTGCTTTCGCATAACATAGGCTGGAAGATCGTAGTCGGGCGACAGACATCAAAGGGACCATAGTTGGGCAACAGAGGGTTAAAGGATCGTTGTCGAGTGATAGAGTTCTAATGGATCACAGTCGGTGGGTAGTAGAGGTACGAGGGATTGTAGACGGCATGTGAAGGAGGTCAAAGGTATTGTAGTTAAGGAGTAAGGGATATTAGAGGGACAATAGTCAATTGACGGAGGTCCGAGTGACCGTACTCGATGAATTAAGGTCGATGTGACCATTATGGTGTGATGGTGGTCGGAGGGACCAAGTTGACAGACAAAGGTGATCAGAGGGACCATAGTCTGTGAGTAATAGTAATTATTGGAACCATAGTTGGTGGGCAACGGAGGTAAGAAGGTCCATAGTTTGTATGCCACAGAGGTCAAAGGAACCATAGTTAAAAGGCGAAAGAGGTTGGAGGAATTATAGACAAGCAACAAAGGTCAGAGGGATGGTAGTTGGCGGATAATGGAGGTCGGAGGGACCGTAATCACCAGGTAATATTGGTTGGAGTGATTGTAGTCAGGTGATCAAGGTCGAGGGGATTGTAGTTGAGTGAATAGAGGTTTGACGGATCGTAGTGGAACAATGAAGGTCAAAATAGTCTTAGTTGTGCCACTGGGTCTGAGGGAATGTAGTATACAGCAAGCGACGAAGGTCAGAGGGATTGTAATCTGAGGGTGACATGTGAGATCTCGTTCCCTTACTGTTCCTCTCTTAATTGGATTTTCCTCCCAGGATCGGCCGGGACGATATTGATATCGTCCAGGCCGATCAGTGCACTGAAAACGACTGATTTCTGGAGTGTTTTCTGGAATGATTTTTGGAC